CCCCCCCCCAAAATATATATTTTTTGCACTGAGTTTTTGTGCATTTCATATAATAGTTCTTAATCAAATTTAGACCCCCTCCCCCATCCTTGATTCCCCCCATAGCGACCCCCCCAGATATCATGTATTCTGTCATATATGATACAGTTAAGCATTTGTGCCCAGACATCCTTCTGTGTAAGTTCATCCACTGGAGTCTACTCAGCCTATCTAGAGAGCTTAAAGATCTACTCTCCTTCACCCAGCAGTAATCATTTGCCAATAGTTCCTAGGCTAGGCTGGTTTTCACCTGCTGAGTCATCTCACCTGTATCTCTAAGTTTATTCTGTTTCTTTCAGAAGAAGCAGGAGGAGGTAATAAAATGTCCCAAGTCTCCCCAGTGCAGTGAAGAGATTAAGTCAGAGACTGACTCATTTGTGAAAAGACCATATTAGCGTTGAACCTAGGGTCTCACAAATGCTAGGCAAATGCTGTCCCTGAATTGTATACTCAGTCCCACCCCCACTCTTTTGGGTAGAGAATTGAATCTAGGGTCACCTGCTTGCTAGTCAAGTGCTTTGTCACTGAGTGACGTCTCCGGCCCTCTTTTTTTCTTGAGATAGAGTTTCACTAAGTTGCCCACGATGATCTTGAACTCACTCTGGCTTTGAACTTTTGATCTTCCTGCCTGATCCTCTCAAGTGCTGAGATAATACGTGTTTTCCTGCACTTGTTTTCAGTTTTGTTCATTGTTATCTTCTTAGTACCTGTGTTATTTATTGGGGGTTGAATTACTGTATCCAACTTAAGATTTATTTTATTATTTTTACTTTGTGTATATGTGTGTAAGGGTGCTTTGAGAAGCCAGAAGTATCAGAGGTATCAGATGCCCTGGAGTTGGAGTTGCAGGTGGTTGTGAGCTGCCTGATGTGGGTGCTTTGGAAGAGCAGCAAGCACTCTTAATCACTGAGCCATCTCTCAGCCCCTATGTTTAACTAAAAATTGAAGTTTGGACCATTGATTCTTGTACTTTCCGTCTTTCCATGTAAGTATTTCCTGGTACATATTTCCTTCTAAAACTTGCTTTAGCTGAATCTACAAATATTTTGAAGTTGCTCTTAATTTTCTTTCATAGTTTTCAGCTGCTTCTGTGAGTCCATTTGTGATGTATAGTTTATCCAGAAGGATGCTGTTTCATTTTCAGATATGTGGAATGTTTAATGACTTTTCCTGGGACACATAAAAAGAAAAGTGTTCACTCTAGAGAGGACATCAGCAGACCAAAGAAGAAAGGATCCCATCCAGTTCACTTTGGTGAACCAATGAGTTTGCCTTTACATAGCGGGGATGGGTGACTTGAAAACAGCATTGCCAGACCCCCGCCTTGGGCGAGGACTCACAGAAGGTGCATCACCGGAGTCCCCAGGCAATCCAACTTAGGGGCAGTGTGCTACTGAAAGTCTCCCCAGCAATTCTTTACTGATTATATGGGGAGAAGAGGAGCTTTGAGAGCCTAGTGAGTCTCTTGGTGAACCTTCCCTTCACTCTGAGGGAATGTTAATCTTGATCTGTCTTATGAGCATCTCCTGCGGGTGGTCAGAGCTGCTCTGATTCAAAATTTTAGTGGCCTGAGCATGGTGGTGCACATCTTTAATCCTAGCACTTGGAGAGACAGAGGCAGGTGGATCACCATGAGATCAAGGCCAGCCTGGTCTACATAGCGAGTTCCAGGCCAGTTGGGGCTCTCTCAAAATTTTGAGGGCTGGAGAAATGGCTCAGCGGTTAAGAACACTGACTCTTGCAGAGGACCTGGGTTCCATTCCCAGCACCCACATAATGGGGGCTAACAACGGCCCTTAACTCCAGTTCTAGGGGATATGACGCCCTCTTCTGAGCTCCGTGGGCATTGCACGACACAAGTGCATTTACCTACCTGTAGGCAAAACTCTTATACACATAAAAATATAAAAAATTATAATGATCTGATCATATCCAACTGAAACAGCTGCAACAACCTGGAGATGACTCAGATTCATTTCCATTAGTAATTAATAATTCTGTTGATATTAGATAATAGAGTGCATATTTTTGCATGTATGAAAATGTATTCATGTATGTGGGGGGTAGTGCATGCACATGTGTGTGTGTGAAGGCCAGAGGACAGCCTTGGGTGTCATTCCTGGGGCACTGTCTACCTTGTTTATTTTAAAAATTTATTGCTTGGGTCTGGGGAGATGGCTCAGTGGTTAAGAGCACTGCCTGGTCTTGCAGAAGACCTGGGTTGAATTCCTGGAGCCCATACGGTGGCTAACAACCTTCTATAACTACAGTTCCAGGGATCCAGCTCCCTCTTCTGACCTCTGAGGGCACTGCACAACATGGGTACCCTTATCTACATGCAGTCAACACACATAAAATATGAACAAAATTACGTGTGTGTGTGTGTGTGTGTGTGTGTGTCTGTCTGTCTGTCTGTGTGTATACACATGCATCCCAAGTATGTGTCTGAAGGTCAGAAGACAACTTGCAGGACTTAGTTCTCTCTTTCCACCATGTGGGTCCCCGGGATTGTACTGAGGTCATCAGGCTTGGCAGCAAGTGCCTTTACCTTTTCAGCCATCTTGCTGGTCCCACATTATTTTTTTACACAGGGACCACACTGACTCAGACCTTGCCAAGGAGGTCAGGCTGGCTGGTCTTGCAGTTCCAGGCATCTGCCTATCTCTTCCTTCACATAACTGAGATTACAAGTGTGTTTTACCATGCACAGCTTTTTAAAAAAATGTGGGTTCTAGGGTTCGAACTCAGTGCTTTGCAAGCACTTTAGGGACCGTGCCATCTCCTCAGTCCCAGAGTTCATATAATTAAAAAATTAATGTTTCTTATGCCTTCATATGTCTACACTTAGTGCATATTCAGTACACAAGTGAGATGAATTTGTACTTTTTAAAATTATTGGCTGAAACTGCATACACACATTTTTACCATTTAGATGGATCTTATTTCCTTTTCCTGTACAAAATTGACCTGCTTGGTCATATCAAAATCTTTATTACTTTATTCTACTACACAGTAACTTGATACGGTAGCAAATAAAAATGAAAATATTCAGAAGTTCATTTAAAAGTTCAGAACAAAGGAATGAGAACAAAAATGTATTACTAGATGTAAGTTCCAAAGAAAACAGCTAAGGAAATATTTTATATTAAAAATGTAACGGGGCTGGAGAGATGGCTCAGTGGTTAAGAGCACTGACTGCTCTTGCAGAGGACCTGGGTTTGAGTCCGAGCAGCCACATGGCGGCTACAAACCGTCCTTAACTCCAGTTCCAGGGGAATCTGACTGACCTCTGTGGCATTGCAAGACACAGATACACTCATATACATGCAGGCAATACACTCATACACACAAAATAAAAATAAAAAAAAATAAAATGTAACTAGTATTAAAAATGAATTTGAATTCATGACACCCTCTACATATTTCTGAAATGTCTTTGTACCAAGCACAAAAGTTTTTCACCATGGTTATGAGCACACAGCAGTTTCTGTTAGATGTTTTGGTGTTCAAAGGATTATTTGCCTTGTTCAGGGTGAACTAGAAGCCTGAGAATGGCTGGATTCATCACAGGACAGATACTCAGGACACCTTGATTATCTGGAGTTGCATTTGCAGGGGCAAAGAATGGATGTAATGACTCCTTGACAGGAATGTTAACGAATGTAAAGACATGGGACCCACCCCTAACATCCCCAAAGGAAATGCATCTGTGCAGTAGATCAAGGAAAACCCCCACTCTGTGCAACCGAGGGGTAACGTAGAGTTGAGTCATGGGCTCGGTGGTGGCTGCGTAGATCTCTCCATCTCTCAAACCCACAGTCCAGAAGACATGGTTTTTGGACAGCACAACTGGCTCTTGTCGATTGATGGACTCTTTGCAAATGCCGATATCCCATTCTTTGCTTGTCCCCACAACTACCTCCTAGTAGTGGCAGCCGGAAGTGAACTGCGAGGAGCCCAGGACGTATGCTGAGACTCGGAATCTCTCCGCGCTTTCCTTACGATGCTGCATGTCGGACCCACGGTGGACATTCCTCTGGTCATCAGAAATGACGAGCTGGTTGTTGGCTGTGTCCACATCCAACGTCATGCCCACTGTGGAGAGAAAAGGCAGTAGTTGGGCGGACAGGCACCAGGGACTCCATTCTTCCCCCTTTATTGGGAAGACTCCTATAGCTATCGTTTAATTCCACCCCTCTTTAAATCAGTCTAAAAAATACAATTCTTAATCAAATTCAGGCCCCTCCCCAATCCATGCTCCCCATCCCCTCACCCATTCTTAAAACTTCCAAGACCTTTTAAAAAATTTTTTTTATTTTATGTGTATGTGTGTATTGCCTGCCGTACAGCGCTGCGGAGGTCAGAAGAGGCCGTCGGATCCCCTGGGACTGGAGTTACAGTTGTTAGCTGCTGTGTGGGTGCTGGGATTCGAACTCGGGTCTTCTGCAAGAAGAGTCAGTGCTCTTAACCACTGAGCCATCTCTCCAGCCCCTCAAGACCTTTTTGATCGGTAAAATTCTATACGTAGAATGCAAATAGTGTTAACAAAATGGTTTTCTTATTCACAGTAGGGTATTTTTACATTGTTAATTGATCATTTGACTAAGTCAAATGGATCTGATAACTGAAGAAAGCAATTATGTATGTTTGCTGTCAAAATGGAACTATGAATTAATATGGTAGATATTACACAGGACTGTCCTTGGAGTTGGATAGATGCCATCTCTCTGAGCTCAGCTCTGCCTGTTTGCCAAAGACCATCACTGATGGGATTGTTGATTGCTGATGCCCCTACACAGTAGGAGGGACAGAGTCAAGAGACCCTGGCCTAAGTAGCCCCACCCATGGTGGGCAATTCAGCCCTAATAGCACATGGCCTAGGGGAAGGGTTAGCGTATACAACCTGGGGAAGACTAAGAGAGGGACTCTTTATGTGGCTTTGGGGGCATCATCCATACTTGGGTTTAGACTCTCTGGTGTGGCTCACATTCCTGTAAGTACACAGTGCTCTGTAAGTAAGCCCAATCAACTTTTGGTTTGATAGAATTGCACCTCAGTTTGTTGATAGGACCTTGGGAGGAGGGGGTGGACCTGGATCTCATTTACATTCCCCCCCAAGAATTTTAGCAACATATGGATTCTAGCAAAATATGCACATTTACTATTTGAAAGGTAGAAGACATGTTTCTTATTGTAGAATAGGAAAATACTGTTTTTCTTTGCAGTCATCTTAACCATTTAATGGTGTTGACTAGGAAATTTCATTCTTGATATGTATTTTCCAGAAGTTATAAAAACTAAAGGTGGCTAGAGAGAGCACAGTTGGTAAACTGATTGCATTGGGAGCATGAGGACCTGAGTTCAGTCCCCAGAACTCATAAAAGTGCCAGGCATGGTGGCACATACCTTTAATCCCAGCACTTGGGAGGCAGAGGCAGGTGGAGCTCTGTGAGTTCAAGGCCAGCTGGAGCTACAGGGAGACTCTGTCTCAAAAAAAAAGACAAGGTCTCACTAGGACTGGCTATGTAGCACAGGCTGGCCTAGGACTGGCTATGTAGATCAGGCTGGCCTAGGACTGGCTATGTAGATCAGGCTGGCCTAGGACTGGCTATGTACATCACGCTGGCCTTGATCACACAGCAATGCACCTTCTCCTGTTTCCCCATTGCTGGGATTAAAGGTGTATACCACCATGCCTGGCAAAAAACATTCTTTTTCCTTTGAAAGAGGGTCTCATATAGTCCAGGTTAGCCTCAAACTTGGTCTGTAACCAAGGATGACTTTTAAGCTCGTGCTTCTTCTACCCCTCCTCCCACCCAATGCTGGGATTATAGACATATACTGCCACATCCAGTTCATGCAGTGCTGGGGACTGAACCCAGGGCCTTGTGCATTCTAGGTACACACTCTACAACTGAACTACATCCCCAGACAATGCAATGCTCTTGGAGGCCAGAAGAGGGTGAAGTTGGTTGAAGACGGTTGTTAGTTATCATGTGGGTGCTGAGAACCAAACCTGAGTCCTCTCTCCAGCTTCCCGCCTCCTTTTTTTGAGACAGGGTCTCACTATATAGCCCTGACTCGCCTAGAACTCACTATGCAGACTATATTAACATGGACAGTGGTTAGCTACTGTGTGGGTGCAGGGGATCTGACGCCCTCTTCTGGTCTCTATGGGGATTGTACACACATGGTGCAGGTAAAACACTCATACACACACATGAATATAGATCTAATTTGTGATGTGGAACTGGGCTTTATTTCCTGAGGAACTGATATGGAAAACACATGGTATAGTCCTTAGGTCCAGAGTCTGTAACTAGACCTAAATCTCCCTGAGCAACCACCAGATGACCTTTACCACTCTTTGCCTTGAGGGCCTGAGCATTGGGATAATTTTATCCATCACAGTGGCTGACCACCTTTTCTGTGGATTCAAATCACCTGGGGGACTCCTAAGCATCTCAGATCTTGGGTCTCACTGTCAGATGAGGGTCAGACTCATGGGTGCAGGCTCTTGCTACCCAAAGTGTGGATTTTGAATCAGTAGCATTAGTACCACCTGGATTGTGTCAGACATTCTCATAAAAGCCCAGTATATTGAACCAGATCCACAAGTAATTCATACATTTTAGAATTTGAAAAGCTACCTTCTGGGCCAGTATTGTCAAAATAAATACAATGTGGGCACATATTTCAGATTTTCTTGTAAATGCATCAATGTAATATGAGGGCTGTGGAGATGGCACATCAGGTAAATGTGCTTTCCCTGAAGGCTAGATAACCTGAGTTCAAGGCCAGGGACCCTCATGGTGGAAGGAGAGAATTGACTTCCATAAGTTGTCTGATCTCCACAAGTACACTGTGGTACATGGGAGTCCACACACATACACAAGCACATACAAATAAAAGTAAATTTTAAAAAGTAATATGAAAGAATTTTTTTTGGTCTTTTGGAGACAGGATCTCCCTGTAGTTCCAGCTGGCCTGGAACTCACTATGTAGACCAGGCTGGCTTTGAACTCAGTTATCCACCTGCCTCTGTCTCTGAGTGTGGGGGATTAAAGGCATGTGCCACCATGCCCTTGGAGAGTTACCATTATTATGACAATATATTTTATTTAAAATTATTCAAAATATAATTGTGACACAGGCCACATTTCAAGTGGGTACCATAGAATGAGTGTTTGGCATACCTTTAATCCCAGCACTAGGGAGGCAGAGACAGGCAGATCTCTGTGAGTTCAAGGCCAGCCTGGTCTACATAGTGAGCTCTAGGCTGGCCAGGTTTACACAGTGAGACACTGTCTCAAAAAACAAAACAAAAAAACCCAAACCCTTCAGTTGGTCCTAATTTTTTCTCAAAGGTAAGAAGGGAAGAATAAAAAAATTCAGTTTCGGACTTCGGCTAAAGCCAAAATTTAATAGGGAAATGTTAGAAAGTTGATTTCCCCAGGGCACCCCATGTGTTTAGGACATCTGTACAGACAGCTTACCTTGGAAGTTCCTCATCATTGGGTTCATCTGGAGAACATCTCTCAGCTGGGGCCCGAGTTTTTTGATCTTGGAAATCAGACACCCCAGCTGAATAGCAGGCATGATGTTTTCTCTCTCAGAGACGACAGAGCATTGTGGGTACAGTAGACCCTCCCCATCTGGATCCTTCTCCAGTGAGTCTGTGCAGTGACAGCAGCAGATATATCCACATTTCAGGTACATGGGCTTTCCAGATAATGTAAACAGATAGGACAGGCACATCTTCAAAGTGTTGAGCCATGGCCAGCGCCTGAGGAAAAATGTACATGATAATGAAATATCCCCGAGTTGAATGACTACCAGATACAGGTGTGACATGGGATTATTTGTATTCTCTAATATAGTTATAAGACACAATGAAAACACACAGCTATAACTAAGGTATGGGCTTGAACTTCTAGTAGTTGAAATATTAGTTGGAATGAAAGACATGATTCCTCTTTGAGCTTTTATTTCATTTCAAATATTTTATTTTTATTTCATGTGTATAAGTGTATTGCCTGCATGTATGTAAGTGCACATGTATCATGCAATGCTTGGATTCTCCTGGAAGTGGAATTAGGGATGGTTGTTAGCCACCATGTGGGCACTGGGAATCGAACCCAGGTCCTCTGCAAGAGCAGCCAGTGCTCTTAACTGCTGAATCATCTCTCCAGCCCTTGCTCCTTGAGCTTTTAGTCTAGGGGGTGCAAAGGTCTGTCTGGGCTTTTTAATATGGTAGTCACCAGCCCCATGTGGCTATGGAGTATCTGAAAAAGGGCTTATCTTATTGAATATTTTTTACATTATTTTTTATTTAGTGTGTGTGTGTGCATATGTGCATGTAGAGTCAGAGGATAAGTCTGTGGGAATTGTTTCTCTCCCTCCACTATGTGGGTCCCGGAGATTAAACTCAGGTCATCAGGCTGGGTGGCAAGTGCCTTTGCCCACTGAACCATCTCATTGATTCAAAGGAGCTTATCTAAATTGCAATGTTCTGTGAGTTTAAAACACACAGTTTGAAAGACATATGAGGAAAAAGGATGTAAAGATTTAATTAACAGTTAAATGGATAATGTGGGCCAGGCAAGGTGGCACACACTTTTAATCCCAGCACTTGGGGAGCAGAGGCCCGAAGATCTGTGTGAGTTCAAGGTCAGCCTGGTCTACATAGTGAGTTCCAGGCTAGCCAGGGATACAAAGTGAGCTATCTCATCCCCCTAATTGATTATGTATAGTTATCTTGCACCCTCAACATCTGTTGGGAGCTATTAATCCATTATGTACATTGAGCTGTGGCAGGTTTGCTTGTTTACTGAGTTTTTGTTTTGCACGCCAGTACCTAATCTGCCAAATCAGGAGGAATGTGTTTATATGGTGGAGTTCACAAGTATTTGACCGCTCCTTGATCCTCAGATACAGGTGGGAAAACCAGCTGTTGAAACTACTTGAGCTAAGCAAATGTGGCTAGCTCTGATGTTCTTCTGTTTAAAAAGGCCGGGCTAAAATAAACCGGGGCTGCAGCCTCTACCGACAGTCCTCCCAGGTATCTTTTCTGTCTCTTGATTTTTCTTTCAATCCTCACTCGCCCTTTCAGGTACTGTCCGTCTTGGCTGGCTGGCACCAGCACCCACATATATGTAGTTTGTTTTTTGGAGACAGGGTCTCCCTGTAGCCCTAGCTGGCCTGGAACTTGCTATGGAGACCAGACTGGCCTTGATCTTGCAGAGATCCTCTGGTATCCCCGCCCTCCCCGCTCCCCCACCACTGGGTGCTGTGATTAAAGGTGTGTGTCACTATGTCTGACTTGTTTTATATTTTTGATATTAAAATAAGCCATTCCCAGGCTGGAGAGATGGTTCAGTGGTTAAGAGCACTGACTACTCTCGCAGAGGACCCAGGTTCAATTCCCAGTGGCTAACAACTGTCCATACCTGCAGTTCTAGGGGGATCCTCAGACACTGCATGACATGGGTGCACTTACATGCAGGCAATACACTCATATACGTAAAATAAAATATAAAAAACCATGCCTTTGCCTTTCACTTTCTTTGCTGTGGTAATTAGAAAGTTTACTTTCCAACTCCCTCACCCATCTGGGTAGAGGCTGTACCAGAAACCAAGAGATTGTATGAGCCAATGGAATAACATGTCTCCCTAGCTTGCAGAGTTGGTTTAAACTCTCACTTTGCCACTGTCGTCTCCCCCATCTCCATTGCCTGAGTAGAGAGCTTGGTGTTCGTGAATGCGCACACTGCCTGGCAACACTTACAGAATAAATCGCTCCACTCGGCAGACCTTCCTCTGTCCTCAGTAGAGACTGAGAAGTAGAAAGGAAATTGCTAAAGATTCTCACTTTGTTTGGCTGTCTTCTGGCCTCCAGCTGCCGTTCACTGTGGGCTGAGTTTCAGAGTGAGAACCACCTCCAAGAGGTCTTTATTAGGCAGACCTCCTCCTCCTTCCCTCTGGTCTGTTCTTAATGAGATTTAGATTTAAATTCTGGCTCAAATGAGATTTTTATAAAATGAAATACATTTCACTTAAACTTCATTTATGGGGTTGGAGAGATGACTCAGTGGTTGGAAACATTGACTGCTCTTGCAGAGGACTCAGGTTTGGTTCTCAGCACCCACATGGTGGCTAACAGTCTAACTCCAGTTCCAGGGGATCCAATGCCCTCTTCTGGCCTTCATGGGAACTGTACAACATGGGTACACGTACATGCATGCAGACAAAATATTCATTAAAAAAAATTTAAAAATCTTAAGTTATGGCCAGTCGTGATGGTGCATGCCTTTAGTCCCAGCACTTGGGAGGCAAAGGCAGACAGCTCTCTGAGTGATAGAGGCCTTCTGGTCTACATAGTGAGTTCTAGGCTGGCCAGGGGTACAGGGATACCCTGTCTCCAAAAAAATATAAGAAAAAATAAATTCAAAGCCAGGCATTATGGTGTTCACCTTCAATCCCAGCACTTGGGAGGCAGAGGCAGGTGGCTCTCTCATATAGATGCTAGCCAGTCAATAAAGTGAGTTCCAGACCAGCTGGGGCTACACAGACTCTACAAGCAAACAAACACCAGATTCAGTTATGTTTCAACAATTTCAGATGACTGACAGGTGATCAGGATTTGAGCATGACTGAGAGATGGAGGGAATTAGAGGGATGACAGATGCTTAGATTACATTCAGGTGTTTTGACAGTTATTATTTCCACAGTACTCATTTGCTGGTGTATGCTTGGTACTTGCTTTCTCCAGTTTTGAATAAATATAACTGCATCTGTTTTAGAGTAACATTTTTTACATCTATGTATGTATTTATCATCTATCTAATCATCATCATCATCATTTTATCTCTGTGTGAATGTGCCACTGCAACTTTTAGTACTTGGTTCTCTCTTTTGAGCATGTGGCTCTCAGGATAGAACTCAAGTTGTCAGGCTCAGCAGCAAGTACCTTTACCAGCTGAGCCATCCCACTGGCCTTACGACTATTTTTTTTTTTTTTTGGTCTTTTTTGAGACAGGGACTCCCTGTAGCTCCAGCTGGCCCCAAACTCACAGAGATCCGCTTGCCTCTGCCTCCCAAGTGCTGGGACTAAAGACCTGGCTTTAAATCTATTTTTTTAAATATACTAATTAATTAGACAAGGTTTCCCTGTAGCTCCAAATGCCTTGGAATTCCCTAGGTAGACCAGGTTGGACTCCATCTCATAGTGATTTGCCTCTCTCTGCCTCCCAAGTGCTGGGATTAAAGGTGTACGCCACCAAGTCTGGCTGTTTATTTTTTTGAAATAAGATTTTGGCTGTGTTGCCCAGGCTGGCCCCCAACTCAATATCCCCCTGCTTCAGCCTCCCAAGTGTTGGGATTATAGGCATTTACCACTACCCACAGCCTGAAATACAATTTCGAAAATCTTTTTTTTTTCTTTTCATACCACTTTATTCCAACTTGAGCACCTCAATATAAAACTAAATACTGGTGAACTGTTTTCCTTATCAATTCTGAGTTACTGTAAAATGTACAAGTTCTGCTAGCAGTTCAACACTTAAATAGATAAATCATCTGACACATGGTAGATTTCATGTAATGAAAATACCTAAAATAATTAGTGTAATATACTGAACTGATGAAAAAAAAATGGACTTTGAAAAACAAGGCTGCAAGGTTGTTACTAACATTGTAATACGTTACAATCACAGATACACCATTTATTAGGGTTCTAGCCTGTAGGAACAACTGAAACCCCTTTCTCTCACAGGGGGAAAGAAATAATTAGCTGTTTTAGTAACTGTACATTTTGTATACTTCTTTTTCTTTTTTTTTAAGTCTTTTTGAGACAAGGTCTCCCTGTAGCCCCAGCTGTCCTAGAACTCACTATGTAGACCAGGCTGGCCTTGAACTCACAGAGATCCGCCTGCCTCTGCCTCCCGAGTGCTTGGATTAAAGGTGTGCACCACCACGCCCTGCTCATTTTGTATACTTTTAAGCAGCTCTTAAATATTACAGAAAAAATAAACGTGGAGACTACAATGCAGTACCCTATTTACAGTACAGCTGAGCATCATATTTAAAAGAATCAAGTTTGAATGTACACACTTGTTAGTGCATTAACTATACCATGTCCATAGGGAATGAGAGCCCCTCCCTGCCCCAAACAAAAGACCTATAGGTAATGGCCAACAGTGATTAAATAGAAATCACAGACACCTGGTTTTTCAGTTTTGTTGATGCGCTCACAGGAAGGGAACACCATTCAATAAAGTGCATTTAGCAGTTTTTATATTCCTAAAACAAGACAGGGTTACGTTTGACTTTTTTAAAACCTCATTAAAAAAATAGTAGGACTGAGTATAATTTAGATGCTGCTAATAGTCTTCTTTCTGGAGACATGGGACGATTTTCTTGGGATTAAGTTATTAAAATGTGGAATGTATACTTTTAAATAATAGAAGACATGATCATTTGCTTGACTATAGTTGCTAAGCATAAATATTGAGTCTTCTAAAAGCCCACATTAGTAATCTCCACATCTTTCACATGTGACTACTGTCCCAATCAGGAGAAAGTGGATGGTTCCTGTGGGTCCAGACGGTCATCTGCCTTTATCTCTAATGGTGAGAAAGCATTCCCTCAACCTCTCCAGAGGAAGAAGTTGCACACACTTCTCACTTCCCTTTCTACTGAAACATTAGTTGGAGGGATACATGCATATTACTAAAATTAAGTTCAAAACACTCAAAATA